GACACCATTGAAGTGACTCCTGCCCTTAAGTGTCCAGTGTACGGAACGGGGTGGCGTGGGGTGTTAACAAGGTATGGCACAGCAATGTGAGAAAAATAGGTTGGTTCTGAAGCCCTTGAGGCTGGGGACACCGGGGGACTCTTGCCTCTAATGCTCTCTGACTTCCAGTTCACAAATCTTGTGGAATTCCAGGGTGATGAGGGTATTTTTGGTCTCAGTACTCTAGAGAGTCGGCTTTGGGGCTCCTGGACAGCCCCAGAAGTCACTTGTTTACCAGGAAACTTTCTACTCCGGGAGCCAGGGAGAGGAGGAGGAAGGTGTTGATCGTGACTGTGTACGGAATCCCAGAGAGTCCCTAAGGAAGGACTTCTATCAAGACACCAGAGATTCTTAGAGTCCGAAGAAGTCGGTGTGTGTGTGTGTGTGTGTGTGTGTGTGTGTGTATGTATGTGTGTGTGTCTGCACCTCGCACACCTCACCCACAGCACCTTCTGTCCAGTTGACATCTGAATCCGTAGTGGTAGTTGGAGAATAATGTAATATGCTACTCTGATTGTAGCAGGTTCTGACTGGGTTTCCTTTCTTGGGTGCTGGGCAGTCCATCTATCCTTCAGTTTCAATCTTAGGCCATAGGAACCCCAGTTTATAGCCAGTCAACCAAAGCACAGGTCACTGTCTTGCTCATGACTAGCATCTAAAATGGGGCAGCTTTGGAGACTGAGACCCCAGTTGTGGGGTGGGGCATTTGCTCCAGGTAGATGGGGTCGGGATTGCCTGTTGGCATCTGCTTGGGAACTGATGGTAGGGAAGCAAACCTCACATTCGTTCCCTTGTGCATGGTGTTGGAGATGGGTCCCTAGTGCCTCCTGCTGGAGTCCTCAGGGCCTCCCATAGGGAGGTCTCCTAGCTTCCACCTAGGACCCTGAACTTACAGGCTCAGGTGGCCAAGCACCACCACCTCGTACCAGGTACTGCTTCAAGCTGGGACCAGAGGGAATGAGGCAGGCTCCCTTGGCAGTACCAGCCTCTGTCCTCCCTTCTGCGAACCTGAGCACTACGGGCCCCAATTCCAGAGGCTGCACACACTTCTCTCTACTCACTGGTTCTGGTGCCTAAAGCCTCTTCTTCTCACATCAGGCAGAAGAGGGCTGCAGGTTTGGTTAACCTCAACTCCTTGGCCCTTGGGGAGGTGGGGGGGGGCAGAAATAGTCCCATGAGCAGCAACCCACCTTCTGTCAGTCCTAGAAGGCCTTCTCCTAGGCAGCATTGCTTTGTACCTGACTGAGTAACCTCTGTTCTCTGTTCCAATTCCCCTCCCCCTAACAGAGACGGTCAATAATCTGTCTGCCCTGATCTCAGGAGAAAGTCAGAAATTCTGTTTGTGAAATCTGATTTTTAAATGTTTGTAACCAATGCATGCATTTTTAATATTCTCCCTGAGAAGAGGTGTGGACAGCCTCAAAGCCAGCATCCTGACTGGGCTGTTCAGGATGTTATCACTGGGGAGACAGATGGGCACATGGGGTACCTGTGCCCGCTCACAACTGCATGTGAATCTCCTCCTAGAATAAGTTATTTAGAAAATAAACGTTGTAAACATTTTAAAGGAATGAGGGGCTTGCATAGGTTTAACACAGCAGTGTGCTAGGCTTGAGCCCTGACTACCCTGCTCACTAGCTGTGTGTCCCTGGGCAAGCTTCTTGGTCCCCCTGGGTCTCCATAAGTGAAAGGATGGTTGGCCCTTCGGATCCACATCCGAAGATATTTCTAAAGTTGGCCTTGCATGGTCCTTTACCTATGTTTATCCTGACTATGGGTCCTCCAGCAAAACAGTCTAAAGTCTAGTTGTACAGTGATGGCATTGTATTAGCTATAAGGCATCTAGGGATGACTGGAGGCCAATGGGGGAACTTCACAGGTCACATGCTGCTCTGTAACATGTAAGGTAAGGACTGCAGTATCTGCAGGTTCCAGCGCCATGGACTCTAACAACACTAATACCACATAGATGTGGCTGGGAATGGAATGACCTCATTCCCGAAGGGCCCTGAAGGTGCTGCATGTGTCGTCAGCACCATAATGAGGTGTGGGCACCTTTCTCATTGAAAGCTAAAGAACTTCATCTCCAGAGACAGCTTTGGCCTCTTGCTTGCCCTACTGCCCTGACCAACACAGACGCTGAGAGGCACAAACAGCACCCAGAAATCTCAGCTGTCAGGTTTGCAGTTTAGAATCACACACTGGAGGATCCAGGGAGCTGTCCCGCCTCTCACTACACTCCTTCACCAGCACCCACCCCAAAGCTTCCTTACTAATCATTTAATATCAGAGACAGAATTGAATCAGATCCTCAAATTCTCAGGCGTGTCTCTGTGTGAGGCGGGAATCCAGTCCTGTCATTGGAACCTCAGTGGTTCCAGAGAGCTAAAATAAATCAGGCTAGATCAGAGGCAGGCCACACAGTCAGAGAGTCACGTTCTGTGGTTCTAGGGTTCTAGACTTCTGGGTAAGAACAGCCATGTATATCACGTAAAACCATGAGCCATCAAATGTGCTGCTTGGCAGATTTCCAGCTGATAGCTCTTTGTTGCTATCTGACTGCAATAGCATGGGACCCCTGGGGGAAGCATACAGCCAGGACCCTTCCCCAGGTCTTGAGCCACAACACTGAAGCGGTTTTTGGAGGCTGCTAAATTTCGAGAAAATCTGTTACTTGTCTATAACTGACCCTCACTTCAGGATCTTCACAGAAGGCAGAAGGAAGCTTTTCCACAGATCTACCAGAGACCTGGGCCTGGAGGCAGGCATCTGCACACAGGTTCCAGGACTTCAAATCTTCCTAGTGTTCTCTCCGGACTCCCAATTCTAGGAACAGCGGGCTGAGTTCTTCTCAATTTTGGTCACTAGGTGGCGGCCGAGAAGGCCAAACCACTGAAGACTGGAAGGCTATACCAAGTCCTGGGAATGGATGTCTGAGGACCCCTGTGAATTTGGGTGAGATTTGGGGTAGATAGGTATTATGGGTGATCCAGAATCCTTGGGGTGCAACTCCTCGCCTAACACACTCAAGGCTAAATGCTGGCTCAGCCATACCCTTCCTGCACACACACGGCCAGCTGCTTGCTTGGGTTCCCTAAGAGGCTGGCTTTAGGGCGGCAAGACTGTCAGGCCAGGTGCAATCCCCAGCCCACAGGCCTGGTTGGATGTCTTTCTCTTCTATTTCTTTTCATTTTGCGGCATCAGGATGTAGCCCGGGGCTTCACAGTTTAGGAAATCCCTCCATCACTAAGCCAAACTCCCAGCCCTTTATCTGTCAAAGGTTGGACTTCACTCTGGTGTCTCTCTACGGCTCAACCCCCCTGTGTCTGCAGCAGCTGTGGATGAGGCAGGACAGGGCTAGCACTCAGGAAGACATGCCTGACACCCCTTACTTCTCCTCAAGGCTGGACAAGTCCTGCATAAACTGGGAGCTGAGTAGACCTGAAGACACATAAAAAGCGAGGCTCCAAGGTGGGCCTGGAGGAAGGGAAAACCATTCCTAACTGATCCTGGTGTGGTGCAGGGACTATCACGAACAGGTACCACATCCTTGAGCTTGTGGTTCAGCCCAGCCCTCTGATCTCTGCCATTAAGAAAAACAGGAGATGCTACCTGAGTGGGGCCTGCCTTCTCCATTTCACTATTTTGACAAGCTTCTGGGCCTTGAGAGGATGACGGCACGCCAGAGCAAGCTGTAACAGGTGGAGCCTGGTCAGAGATGGGCTCCCTCACATATTCCCTGCCCTGCACACCTTTGACTATGTCCTGCACTGTGGTGCTACCCACCTCTCTTCCCACCTGAAAAGTCAATATGGGCCCCGGGGCACTGGCCAGGAGCCAGGCACTTTAGTTAAGGCTGCTGTAAGGAGATCTCTATTGTAAATCACCCTTTAATGCTTACTCTTCTTTTTCCCTTTAAAGAAGTTAAGATCCCGGGCCCTGGAAGATTTGTGACACCAATTGTTATTTGTTTCTTCCCTGGTAGCAAGGCCTTTTAGTCCTATAACCATGAGGATGGTTCCTGGCTATCTTGAACTCTTCTTGGGCACCTGGGGAAGCTGAGCTCAGACTTCAGCTGCTGGATCCCAACGCACTTCCTGGTTCCTGATCCATAGTCTCTGTCACCGTTGTTTCAAACAGCTTCTGCAGGATACAGGACTTTTGGCCCACCATCGGTGTTTGGAAAATCAACATGACTTTTGGGTAGAGGGGGAGTCTTTCCCCTGGTACCCGTGCTATGATTGGTGCAAACCCAGTTCTTAATTTACAAGAAGGGCTGTGCCCTGATTGGTGAAGACACTGCTTGCCACACTTCCATTCTGAATCAGCTCATGATCACTTGCGTTGTCAGGTCGGGGAGGGGGGTTTCTCCAAAGTAGTCTTCCCCAGAGAGGCTGCTGTGGAGAACAGAGTCTTCATAGGCAAGACCAGTGAAAGTTGAGAGGAGACAAGAAATTGAGAGGAGAAGATATCGAGCCTCAACTGCAGAGGGTTCCAGCACCCTGAGTCTGAAAACTGTGACTTTTGTCAATACTGAGGGTTAAGAGTCCCAAAGCCTGGGGACAGATCTGTCACACCCAGGGTTACAATAGCTGCTCAGTACTAGGGATTAAAGCCCAGGGCTGAGCATCCAGCCTGAGCATCTGGAGCCTGGGTTTCTGACCAACAGGGCTTTGGCTCTCACCACCCAAGCTGCAGCCTCCGACTCTGCCTGTTTGGTCCTGTACCTGACAGTTTCTCCACTCCTAATTCCCACTCGCACAGGTGATGAGTAACAGGGCTAGACGCTGCATCTCACTGTCCTGGGTTCCAGTTTCACGCATTCAGTCTGCTAGAGCAGGCGCCTGCTGCTAGACAGGAAGGAGCGCCAGACGACACTCCTGGGCGGGTCCTAGGCTAAGTTCAGGACTGGGCGTGTCCTGGGTCTCAGCTGCGCGGTGAGAGAACGCACCGGACGACCGTCGCCTGCCACGCGTGGGGCACAGTATGGGGAGGCGCTCCTGCTGTCGTCGGCGCTTGCCGATGGTGGCAAGTCTGGGTGCTGCGCTCCTGTTCCTGTGCGCGCTCCTCCTTCTGCGTCTCGGTGAGTGCGCATTGGCGGGTGCCTCTGCTTTGGGGCTCCACTAGCTGGAGCGCCCCCTGGGTCGACCAGGCACCTACCCTTGTTCCCAGCTGGGCGCCTTCCACTCCCCAAAGGGGTCTTTTTCACGTCGCTGGCTGACGAGGTGACTATTGTTTGGGTCAGGTTGTGATTGTGGTGGAGCTTATAACCAGTCTAGGGGGATTCTGTCAGTGTCTCCACTCTGAGCCTCACGCTGCTGCTTCGCGATGTCCGTCTCCACCTGAGACCCCTCTGAGTACTTACATCCATGGAAGAACTGTACAGCTCTATGCAGGCCTGGGGGTACAGGATCCACATCTTGCTCGTACCAATTTCCACCAGGCATGTGGTTTCATTCTGAATGAGCTCAGGTCTCCTCAGATCCTCTGGAGGACAATTCATTCTACAAGGGTGAGGGCAGAGGCCAGGTGTGTGTGGGGGGGAGGGGGGCTGGAGGTGCCTAGGCTACATTTGTGACCGTCTGCCCATCTTTATGTGTCTATGGAGTCTGCTCCCTCCCTGACAGCCTCAGACCCTAGGGTGGACAGCGGCTTTAGTTGGGAGTGACTTAGGACAAGGGAAAACTGTTTTCTGGGTGGTACTTATCCATGGAGGGACCCAGTGGCCAACCTGGTAGATTGGAGGTCACTCAGAAAGCTTAACCTGCTTCCTGTCCCCTCCCAGGGTCTCAGCAGTCTCATCTATGGAATAGGTGCCGACTCCATCCTTATGGGGTTTTTGGGAGAGTAAGTTTGAATGTTACAGTAGATAGTGCTTACCCCACCCCTAGGCCTTTCATCATGTTGGCTTCGTCCTTAGGGAATCCCTGGGATGGAGACCAGGGTTGGGCTGTGGTACAGGTGAACAGAACTGGGGAGGCCTAAGGAGTAGTCACCAGGCCCACGCCTACCCACTCTGCCAATTAATCTCTCCATGAACAGACACAAGTGGCTGTGCCTGGACACCTCTGGAAGCCCTTCCCCCACCCCAGGAAGCCTACTCCCCTTATTGAGGACCTGAAGATGAATGGATAGCCCTGTATAGGTGCTTCCTCATGTCTACAGTGTCCCCTGGCACAGTCTGGAGTGTGGTCCCAGTGTCTGCTGTGGCCACAGTCTTTGTCCACCCTGTCATTCATTGTAGACAAGTGTTTACCCAATCCCGGGCCACAGTGGCTCAGGTCCCTCAGTACTCAACTCTGCTATGGGGTATGAGGGCCCTTGGGAGTGTCTGCAGAGGACCATATATCTTGGTGGCTCTCAGTGTGTCTTCAGGCCTCTGGTGACATATCTCTCCTGCCAGCCCCTCCAGTCAGGTCTGAGAAAAGAAACAACCACTACCCTGGGCCCCCTCCTCACCCACAGGATTTGGAGGGGAGGGGTGCGGATGTGGGGAGGGAGAAGTGTAAACACCTTTGCTCAGGTGGGGCTGCTAGCTACTCCTGTCACCCCCGCTGGCCTCATATCATCTGGCTTGGGAAGTCCCTGCTGACCCTGGCATCATTGCCCATAGTCTGAGATGGGTCTCTGAGCTTCCTCAGCTGCCGCCCCTGCCTCCCAGTCTCTCCAGATGCTCACACCCCACTGGGGTAGGTTTCCAGCGGCTAACTTTTCAGACTTCCTTGGGCCCACAAAAGCCAATTCCACCTCGTATCCTAGAGCTAGCTCTCCACTTCAGGGGAGAAAAGAATGCTTATGGCAGGCCCTGTCTGGGAGACAGTGGAAAGGTTTGGTCCTGCTGCAGGGGATAGGGTCCCACTGTCCCAGGCCTCAGGGGGATATGCCCATTTTTGCACCCAATTCTAGGTCATCAGGGGCTCATGGGAAGAAATTTATGGGTGAATGGGGGATCAGGGCCCAGGAGAATCCCTGTGCCATAACCCAGCTGAGAGACCGATCTGGGACCTGTCCTTTCCTTCCTCAGGGAATGAGATGTCATTGTCACCATCTGCTGGGCAATGGGGCACTGAACAGGGTCACAGGCCTGGGTTCTAGCTGCACCGGGGAATCTCATTGGCCTCTTTCCAGTAGGAAACTTATTCTGGTCCCCCTGCCCCAGGATCTGCTACCAACACTGACCCAGAGCCCAGGGTCAGAGAGAAGGTAGCATTGTGGAGTGGCCTAAGACACTTCTGTCCCCAGCATGCCACCCTCCCCTATGGGGTCCCAGTGGTGGTGCCATCTTCAGGCCCCCTTTGTCCTTTGCCCCCTCGACCTGAGCCCGGTGCCTGGGTTCCCCTGATGCTCATACCTATAACCACATCTGTGGAACCTGTTGCCCCTGTCTAGGAGCAGAACTTATAGGTGTCCCACCTCACAGAGTTGTGTTTTGACATCAAAACCCCAGGTCTCCACATCATCAACTCTTAGTTACACACTGAGAGGTGGGGCTAGGGTGATTTGATCTGTCAAATGGAAGGGCAGAGGAGTCGCAGAACAACTCGTCCTAAATGTCAGACTGGTAGCAAAAGGAGAGGGCGTGGCTGTCGGGATGGGGCTCACAAGAGGCTCACCAGGTCCAACTGGAGTCAGAGCTCAGGAGACTCTTGGAGAATTGCTCTCTGGTAGGTCAGTCAGCTCAAGTAAGAGCAGGGAGGCAACTGTGGTCAGGGGGGAAGATGTGACTTCCTTAAGCCAAGAGATGTGGGGGCAGGATTTGAGTCCTACAGCCCAGAGTCAGGGGAAGGGGTACATGGGGGAGATGGGACAACTACCCAGCACATCACCCTCCCCACAGGGTCTCCGTGATAGCTCCATTGCTGTTCTAGAATGTTCGTATGGCTTTGCTCCTTTGCCATCCTTGCCTGGGATGATGATTTAGGCTTTGTCTTTCTACTTTACAAAGCAAGGATACTTGACATAGACTTTGATAGAAGCATATAACTTGATTATATGGGAAACTGAATGAACTGGTAAGGTTTTTTTTTTTTTTTCTACTTGACACAGCTAAGGATCATTTGGGAAGAGAAAACCCCAGTTGGGAAAATGTCTCCATCAGACTAGCCTGTAGGCAAGTCTGTGGGGGCATTTTCTCAATTAATTGTTGTGAGCAGGCCATAGGGAGCAAGTCAGTAAACTGTTCCTCTGTGGTCTCTCCTGTAGTCCCTGACTCTAGGTTCCTGCTTGACTGACTTCCCTCAGTGATGGCACATAAACTATGATGAAATAAACCCCTTCCTCCCCAAGCTGCTTTTGGTCATGGTGTTTTATAACAGCAATGGAAAGCAAATTAGGACAGAAATAAGTGCTAAGAGTGGGGTTTGGATCCATGAGGACGTGTGTCCACTGGAGGTGCAGAAGGCCTGGGCACCATGCGTGGTGCTGGACTGATGCGTAGGGTCCGGGAAAGTGGTGGCCAAAAGCTAGAGAGGTGCCGTGAGCTGAGCCCAGTTCACAGCCTTGAACGGCCGGTTAGGAGGTGAGGTATTCTCCGGTCTTTAAATAGTCCCTACCACTGTCTAAGAAATACAGGACAATAACACAGTTCCCTTAATTACACCCAGGAACACTAGCCCAGGGTGGGCACTGCCCACAGTGAACTGGGTCCTTTCACATCGACCATTTGAAAATGCACTGTGAGCCAAGCTGGTAGGGGCATTTTCTCAGCTGAGGTTTCCCCTTCCTAAATGACTTCAGTTTGTGTCAACTCGACATGACGCTATCCAGCAGCGTGACTGAAGATATCTTCTGCCACATTCAGTGGGACATGCTCAGCAAGAGGCTTCTACCCTCGACAGGACCTGGACTCTGATGAGAGGCAAACTGGTAGCAAGCGTCACCCCCACCCCAGGTCCAGTACTGGAGACTGAAGTGGCGTTCCTTCCTGGCCGGCAAATGTCATGTGTGCTACCAGTGAGCTGTATTCGTAGCTTCCGAGTCCTTCCTCCTTAATCTTAGGTTTCTGAGCCAGGGTTTCAATATTTGCCTAGGATAGCTGGGTACTCTGAGCTGTACTTAGACTGTGATCCTCCTGCTCCAGCCATCTAAGTAGCTGGGATCACAGGCGGGCACAGGGCTGCTGCATAGATTTTGAGGTGACCCGCGTGGGATAAGCAGTAGGTTGGCAGGATAGTTTCCTGTTGCTCCCAAGCCATGAGGGCTGATAGTTAAGAGGCAATGTGGACCTGGTGATGGGGTCAAATAGGAGTTTCCTCACAGCAGCCGGCTTGTACAAGTCAATGAATGGAGTTTAAATATAAACAGAGAGAGGCAGAATGACGTTTCTTCTGTGAAGAGCTTGTCCAATGTATCCCCCTCTCCCGTCAGGGTAATCACAGGAAAGAATGCCCCTGACACTGGATTGCAGAGCTCACCCAAAGCATTTTTTTTTTTTTTTTGGTGGGGGAGGTTTGAATGGAGCCAGCAGACCCAAGGCTCTGACCTAGCTCTTCCTGGTGCTTGTGTTGGTTAGTCTTGCAACATGGCAGTGAGAACTTATTAACCAGGATGTGGCTGTTGCAATGTGCCCTGGGCTGGACTCCCACCCCCAGTCCCATCCCCCAAAACAACCAGGCCTGGGGCATGGGGCTTCCTGCTGAGGTCAACTTTCTTAGATTTTTGTGATGTATCAGCCCACAAGTTCCCGAGAGGGTGTGCCCTGCTGTTTTTCACCCTCTGTGACATTGTGCGCCTCGTCCCTCCCCACCATGGTGGGCACTTCCTTTTTTTTAATATTTATTTATTTATTTATTTATTATGTATACAATATTCTGTCTGTGTGTATGCCTGAAGGCCAGAAGAGGGCACCAAACCTCATTACAGATGGTTGTGAGCCACCATGTGGTTGCTGGGACTTGAACTCAGGACCTTTGGAAGAGCAGGCAATGCTCTTAACCTCTGAGCCATCTCTCCAGCCCCATGGGCACTTCCTTTTTAGTAAAGCAGAGCTTGAGGACCTTGTGGATCCCTAGAATGTGCGGGATGGGCAGGAGCCCAACAAATGGAAGCCTGGGCCTTAGCAGTGCAGACACTGGGACCTGAGGTTTAGCCTGTTTTGAAGTCAGTAGCCTTGACGGTTTCTGACCTTGTGGCTGTCAGTTTCCCCATCTAGTAAGTGGGAAAGTAACAATGTCCACCTGACAGGACGACACAGGTCAGTTCCACACAGCACAGTTACATAGTGTCCTGTGTCACCTGCCCTTGTGTGGACATAGGATGCCGGGCAAAGCCCTCTGCTGAGGCCTGTGGTGCTTTCACCAGGATTTCCTTCCACCCTTCAGGGGCCCTGAGTCCACCCAAGACAGGGCACCAAAAGTTCTGGTGGGCCTCACTCTGGTGTCTTGAGCTGAGGGAGGCAGCCTGGCTGGACAATCAGCATGTTCCTGCCAGTTTCCAGCCCACAGGCCTGTTTCCAGCCCACAGGCCTGCTCTGGTCTCCTTCCAAAGTATCGTTGCTTCCAGGCTCCCTGAGTCCACACTACTGTCTCCCAGCTGCTGTCCAGGGCTATCCCCGTCTCTCTCCTGCTGTTGGCACTCCATCTGTTACTTTTCTTTCCCTTTCTTTCTCTCCTCTCTAAGGCAGGGTAGTTGTTAGCTTTCCTGATGCTTGGGGTTAGAGGAAGTCTTAGTTCTGCTGAGGCCCCCCTTGGCTATACAAACCTGCTGCCTCCTTTGTATTCTGTTCTGTTCTATGTGTCTTAGGGAAGGGAGGGACCACAGCTGGGAGCAGGTTGAGCAAGCCTGGCGGTGAAGATGCTGGGGCTCCATGTGGCCCTGTTTGTAGCCTCAGTGGTCCTTATAGTTGGACTATAAGGGCAACCCTTTCTGATAAACTTGTGTTGTGTGTGTGCACACTCATGCATGTAGACATGTGCATGAGAACACACACACACACACACACACACACACACACACACACACACGCACCATCCCTTCTACAGCCAGCCTGTCCTTAATGGGCCTGGAGCCCTGGACTCTTCATTGGCAGGGTGGCGGTAGCCTGGCCCTGTAATCTGTGACCACAGCTATTCTGGGAACCCTGGGTGCCTGTCCTCTACCCACAGACCTTTGGCATCTGTTGTGGGACCCACTCTTAGACAGCTGTGGTCTGACCAGGAAATGGAAGGCCTTGGGCAAGGAGTGGCTTTTGGAAGGATAGGAACCTTCAAAGAAGGCTGTGGGTCAGATGACTGTGGTGTAGTCCCTCCAGGTTGCTCTCCCTACCCTGCCCACAGACCAAGAGGGAATTATGGTCCCCCAGTTGCTTGCTGAGGCTCTAAGAAGACCCCGTCACTGGGTGGCCTAGAGTGACACCTCTACGCTGCAGAATGATGAGGATGCTCTTCTTCCCTCCTGTTGAGAGAGGTCACTCTGCCATGTTGCAACCCTGCTCAGACGCTGATGCCAGCTGCTGTATTTAGCCACAGCTTATAATTAGTGGTGCTCGCCTTTCCTGGCAGCTCACTCTCCAATGTATGTGCTGTTCTGTCGAAAAGGCAACAGGATCAGAGATCCTTCCCTGGGTATAGTCTGGAGAAGTTCAAGGACTGGGTCCATGGGCATCTTCAAGACAGGCTTCCTCCATGAGCCCTGGTTCAAGCCCCACTCCTTCTAGGTACACACACATGGCCTCAGGTGTGCAGACAGCCCTGTAGTCTTAAGGACACCGAAGAATGCAAGATAAAAACATAGAGAGTGTCCCTGTCCAGTTCTGGAAACAGGTAAAGCTGCATTTATCAGGAGCGGCATCCGCACCCTGGGCCATGCACATGCTTCCGGGGGCTTTCATGATGCCTCAGATAGCGTGGTGCCCTTGCTCTGGATGCTCTTACCAGAGAGCAGGCAGAGGCTCCTTTCCTCTTGTTCCCTGTACTTGCCACTTCCCAATGGTGGAGGCTAGGGCACGAAGGTGGGAATGACCCCAGGGATACTGCCTTACCAGTGCCCACCATTTACCAAACCCCCAGGAGGAAGAGAAGACACAAGAAGAAAATAAGTCACACAAGTGAGTTAAATGTGTCTTAGAGGTACTGGCCAAACTATACCTTGTCCAAAGCCAGCAGTGAGCTCTCTGTCCTTGTGCCCTTCAGGATTTAAAAACAAAGCCCTGGGCTCCAGCTGGTTTGGAGGAGTGAGGAAGAGTCCCCTACAACTGTTGCACGACCTGGACCAGGTAAGTGGCTGGGATGCCCTCTACCTCCTGGACAGGAAGTCATAGCCTCTGGTATACGTGCTGTCATAGGCTCTGTCCAGTGTGCACAACAGGGCTTCCTGTGTAGTCTAGAAGTCTAATTTTCCTACTCATTATCCCTCCCACCACACCCGAGGCCTGTGCTTGTTCTGTGTTATGTACTGCAGATACAGGGAAGTAAAACAGTCCCAAATCTGTCCCAGGGGACCAGCAACAGATGGTCATTAAGCTATGTCTGGCTCAGGAGTTCAAGTAGATGGTCATTAAGTTCCAAAAGTTTAGTAATGTGGCACAACAAGGGAATGTTCAGAGGATGCCCCTACGCACCCACCCAATCAGCTCCAAGCAGATGGAGCAAGTGGCCCTACTGGGACTACACACAGCCTCTCACACACCCAACAGCACATGCACTCAACTCAGGGTGGGATTAGTTCCCAAGGAACCCAGTCCAGCCTGCTTATATATTGCTAAGTCAAAATGCTCCTGATATCTGGGACCCTTGATGTCCAGTCACTTGGCCATACAGGACACTGTGGATGTAGTTGCTCCCCTAGTGATGGTATATGTATGGGTCAGACTCACTATCCTCTCCTTCGACAAGAGTATCACTCAAGCCCAGAAAAAAGTCTCTATTCCAAACTAACAGCATCTTCTTCTGAATGCTACCATCAGAAAGTTTTTTGTTGTTGTTGTTAAATGTCTAAAATCATTCAAGTATGACTGACTGAATGCCACTAGAAGACCCCATACCCGGCTCAGTCAAACAAACACACAGACAGCATGTATTAGCACCACTGAATGCAGCCATTCTGGTACCAGGCTTTTTCTTCTTGGGCCACCAACCAGCTCCCAAATCATGACATGGAGATGATGTATTAGTTTTGAATGCTTGGCCTAGCTTAGGCCCAAACACTGGCAAGGGCAATGGGGGAACCATGGAGGATTGAGAGCAGAGGCAGCAGGGCCAGAAGATTCCCTTGGACTGCTGCGGGAGGATTGTTGGGGCTGACTGCTAAACCTAACGCCCTTGGGTTGAAGATTAGGAAGTCTTGTTCGCAGAGTATGTCTAGTTCACTCCTGGTTGCACATGAGCAGGTGGAGGACAGACTCTCAGGGGTCCCAGATTCCACCAGCTTTGTAGCCTTCAGAGGGACAGATGGGTCCTCAAGTCCCAGGATCCAGGGACTGTTGGAGTCAAATCCATCGAGGCCATATACTTGCTTCTGGAGAAATGGCAGCAATAGAAATGTCAGGGGACAAGGACTGATCCTGTGCCATGCACTCACCCACTTATGCAAACCATAAGATAGGGCTACGTTATGTGTGTTTATTGATGGGGATTGAAGCAACGGGCTGAGGACCCTGCAGAAGTCATAGAGCTCATGAAGAATTGAGTCAGCTGGGCAGCTCACTAGGAGCGACAAGAGCTGTAGTGCAGGATGCGGCCCCAGCTGGTGAGTCCCTACAGTCCCAAGTTCAAGAGCTAGTCTTCCCTCAAAATGCCATGTCTTCAGGAAGCTCACTTATCCAAAGCCGAGGTTTTGTCATCTGCTGAGGGGATCATGTTGACTGTATTAGAATTCACAAGTCTGTAAACAACAGCAGTGTTGACAGAAAGGCCGGGAGCCTCAGGGAACAGTAGTGGGATGTCACCCTCTGTCATCCTCTGAGTGTTGACTCCTGTTTCAGATTCGCAGCCTCATGACTGCAAGATGACCGCCATCCTCACAGAAGAGGACCCCAGGGTGAGGGTGGGTGGTCAAAGGTTTGGGTTCCCTCCCTTGTCCTCTTGCTTTGCATCCTAAGGAAAAGCCTTTCCCAGGAGCAGCAGGCCGACTTCCCCACAGCTCATTGACCAGACCCAGGCCACATCCCTTTTGTGATGTTGTGAAGCTGCATGGCTGGTTCTTCTGAGGCTGGGCATAGATCCCAACACAGTTAGTGAGGAGAGAGGTGAGCTAAGGAAGAGATGGCTGACATTCCTCCACAAGGGTGTGTTAGGCTGTGAGGAGGTTGAGGGCAGCCTGGTCTGTGGGGCTCTGGGTGCAGCCAGGGTTCCGGAACACTCCTGGCAGAGAGCAGGATCTTCCCAGAGCCTACAGACCCTGTGGCCATGGCTGAACTTGGCATGCTCACAAAGAATGGTGAAAGTTCAGGGCAGCACACATCTCCTCAGCCAGGCCCTGGTCTTCCCCAGATGGGACTGGTCCTTGTGTGGGATTCCAGGCAGGATCTAGGATGTGCATTGTGATGAGTCTTATTCTGTCCCGCCAGCCAGTTCCCAAATAATGGCACAGAGACTTCTTATTATGAAAACTCAGTTCCTAACTAGTTTTTATAACTTAACTCATTTATATTAATCTACATTATACTTTGTGACGTTACCTCTCTTCTACCTTGCACCTTTTCCCTCTCTTGTGTCTCCTGGAGTCTCCTGCATGCCAAGATTCCTCCTCTTCCTTTCTCTCCCAAGCCACACCTCCTGCCTAGCTATTGGCCGTTCAGCTTTTGTTACACCAATCACAGCAATACACCTTCGCCCAGTATACAAATATCTCACAACAGTGCATTTTAACTCTTCCAAGATATCTCTTTCTGAAATTCAAGTTGTGTGTCTCTGCTTGTCCACCTTTCTGCTTTAGCTCTCCTTCGGAAATGCAAGCAGGATGACTGACCCAGGACCCCACATTACACCACTGACTCTCTCCCTCCTACTCTAAAGCTCACCCCAGCCTGTGGATTCTGGGACTCTGGCAGCATTTGAAAGAAAAGAAAAAGTGGCCCTCTGCCCATCCTTTCTGAAGTAGTTTGTTTTCTTCCCTTCCTCATGAAACACAAAGTTCATGCAACTTCATGAATCGTGAACTACTTTAAAAAGCCCCAGAAACACATTTGTGCCTGTGGGCACACGCCCACATACTCCTGTGCCACCAGCATCCATGATCTCATGCCCGAGGCTGGGGAATCTTACCATTTCTGCTTCTGGTATGGCCTCTGAGCTGGAGATATTCTGAAGGCTTTTGACATTTTGAGAAATAACTCTGTGTAAATTTGCTCTTTTGAAACGGCTGACTCAGTGGTTTTTATATTTTACATGTGTTCTCACTACTGTCTATATTATCCCAAGAGAGACTATTGTGGCCATTCCTCTTCCTTCTCTTCTAGTTCCTGACAACCACCAATTCACTTCCTGTCTGTAGATTACCTGTTCTGATCATCCCATAGAAAAGGAATCTACGACTATGCTGTTAGTTCTAGCACTTGGGAGGCAGAGGCAGGAGGATCTCTGTGAGTTCAAGGATGGCTTGGTCTACATCACAAGTTCCAGAATAGTTAGGGCTACCCTGTATCAAAAAAGAATCATGCAATCGTTACCTTTCCACCCAGCATAACGCTGTCAAGGTTCCTCTGTAGCATCTGTTGTATTTCCATTTTATTTAACAGCCGAATAGCGTTCTGCTATTGTTATGCCATATAATATTTACCCATTTGTCAGATGATGGATATTTAAGATGTGTCCATGTTTTTGCCAACAGGAATAATGCTATGAGCATTCACATACAGGTTTTTTGTGTGCCTATGATTTTAGCTGTTTGGGAACTCTGAGCTCTGGGTAGGCAGGTGGAAAGAGCAGTAAATGGTGCCACGTGGCATTATAGCCCTCACTCAGGCCTGGGTGTCAGGACCTATAGTCCTACTAATGCTGCTGCTCCTATGTCAGTGCAGAAAGTCAGGGCTTCTGTGCCCTTGACTCGAGCCAGCAGCACTGAGCCAGCACCACAGTGCTTAGGCTTGCATTTGAGACTCCTGGCCCCAAGCACCTGCCAGCCTTCCAAAACTTTCCAGAAAGCAGGGCGTGAATGCTCCCCCCTCTGGCTCTTTAAGCCTTCTGCTTCTTCAACCCCAGCTCTCCAGCCTCACTATCAAGCCAGGGGAAGCAGCTGTGATCTTTGTGTTCTCAAGGTGTAAGTGTTCAAGGTGGCTGTTTGGCTGTTGTCTTTTTAGTTAGGAGATCCAGGGGAAGTCCAGTGACTAATAACTAGGTGCCCAAACTCCTCATTCCCCAAAGTCTTTGATTATTTTCAGAAAACTGAACGGCAGAAGGACGGTACAGTTATCATCATCACTAAGAGTAACTTAAATGGATTTTTAACAGGCACCCTGTAACCTAGTGGGTTGCCCTTCCTCCATCTCAAACTATGGAGGTGGAATGGTGGTGGGGTAGTCTTAGAGATGAGGACCCTATTGAAGAATAAATTTGAAGGGGCATTCTGTAAGCACAACTTGGGTCTTTGCATGCAGGCTAAGTGGACCACGCCCATGGTCCTCTGAATAGGACCTAATTCATAGTGCTATACTGTGGTTGGCATACTGGAAGTGCTAGACAAATGATGGTGGCTCGTTTTCCCTCCCCCAGAGAACAGATGGGCAGGGAAAAGGTTACACTTCCTCTCAAAGGACTGGGATTAAATTTGCTGATGGCGAGATGGAGCCATGGCTCAGCACTAAGAGCACTCACTGCTTGTAGAGAACCAGGTTGGATTCCCGGCATCCACAGGTGGCTCATTTCCACTTATAATTCCAGTTCCAGGGGTATCCGATGCCCTCTCCTGGCCTTTTTGGGCACTGCACGCATATGGTACATAAATATACAGGAAGGCAAAAATACCCATACGCATAAAAGGAAAAACTTTGCTGGGGCGGGGAATGAATCAAAGTCCAAAGAAATTTGTTCATTCACTAATACAAAATCAGCAACACACATAAAAACCCACATCCTGCAAACACCTGAATGGCAGCTGCCAAGGGATGGCTATGCTCCAAGGCTGGCCAGGGCACAGCCTTTCTGTTGTCCTTGCTGGAGTGGATGAAGTGGGGAGGACACAATGGGGGAGCAGAAATTAAGCCCACAGTAGAGGGACAGATCGTCTATTGGTCTATGTGTTCCCGCGGCTATATGCTGTGGGCCCTGTCCTCGGCCATCCTTTGACCAGCGTACCTAGTCCTGTAAAGACTCATTCTCAGCAATCCTAGTGTGTGCACAGTACCCAGCACACCTGGCTCCTCATATCCTTCCCGCCTCAGCAGTTAGACTGCATTTCCTCCAAATCCAGGGCAGATTCTGGTCCCAGACCAAGCAGGGTCTGGTGACACCTCTGGGATTCCAGTTTCCAGTAGGGGAATCCCTTGCTTGAGTCCCTGGGCATGTGGTATCTGTGCAGCCTCTGCTTGGAGCCCGCTGCACTCTGACGCTTGACCCTGCATGTTTCTGTCCCTTGTCGCCTGCAGGGTCAGCGTTCTGTGATGGCCGAGGTGCACCAGCAGCGGCGCCAGCTGCTACACCGCGCCTGCAGCCGCCACACACGACGCCAGCGCCTGCTGCAGCCAGAGGACCTGCGGCATGTGCTGGTGGACGACGCGCACGGGCTGCTGTACTGCTATGTGCCCAAGGTGGCCTGCACCAACTGGAAGCGCGTGCTGCTGGCGCTGCGTGGCCGTGGGGACCCTGGCTCCATCCCTGCGCACGAGGCGCATGCGCCTGGCCTGCTGCCCTCGCTGGCCGACTTTGCGCCGGCCGAGGTCAACCAGAGGCTTCGCGACTACCTGGCCTTTCTCTTCGTGCGCGAGCCCTTCGAGCGCCTGGCTTCCGCCTACCGCAACAAGCTGGCGCGGCCACACAGCGCCGCCTTCCAGCAGCGTTATGGCACACGCATCGTGCGCCGCCTACGACCACACGCACAGCCCGATGCGCTGGCCCGCGGCCACGACGTGCGCTTTGCAGAGTTCCTGGCCTACCTGCTCGACCCGCGCACGCGCCGCCAGGAGCCCTTCAACGAACACTGGGAGCGCGTGCACGCGCTCTGCCACCCGTGCCTAGTGCGCTATGACGTGGTGGGCAAGTTTGAGACGTTGGCTGATGACGCGGCCTTTGTGCTGGACCTGGTGGGCGAGCCTGGCCTGCACTTTCCTGCTCCGCCACGGAGGCCTGAGAAGGACCCTACGCGTGACCAGGCCAGGCGCCTCTTCCAGGACATTAGTCCCTTCTATCAGCGCCGCCTCTTTGACCTCTATAAGATGGACTTTCTGCTCTTTAACTATTCCGCCCCCTCCTACCTGCGGCTGCATTAGGGATGCTGGGTGTCGAGAGGGCCTGTGACTGAGCCACCAGGAGGTCTGGAATGAGCCCATAGTGTGGATTGGAGAGCCATTCACATTCCGTACTCAGTGGGCCTGCCAAGACCCTGGACACAGGCCACTGGATTGGGCACAACTCAGGTGACAGTTCTGGCTGGCTTCTTCTGCCTTTGGTTTGATGGCAGGTGGCAGGCTTCTTTCCAGGACCCCAGGGTTTGTTTTGTTTGTTTTGCTTTGGTGGCGTTTTGGTTGTGAGAGGCCAATCTCAGTCATGTCTAGGCAGAGCCAGCCCATGCTGCTACAGACAGAATGCCAGGGTTTGGTTCAGAGTGGTCTGAGGTCCTGCCCTGGGCCTTCCTGTCTTCACCCAGACTGGCAAGGGCAGACATGACTAAAGAGAAGCTATGTCCTGGCCAGCCTGGGGAGGTGTGTCACCAGGCACTGCCTCAGAGTCACCATGAGCAGCCTGCTCCTTTGGCAGCCACAGGATGGCAGAGCCCCTACCGTCCACCTCTGCTTGGCTGGTCTCCCTTTGATCTCATTGCAAGATTCCAGGTCATTCCCTATGTCCTCAGAGGCCAGGATGCAACATGGTGGCAGTTTTTCCTGCACGCCGGGTTGCTGGCCTGGTCATGGTTTTTAAATAAATATGTTTTGTTACGTTTTTCACTTTGGGAAGTTTCCCTGCTTCGTTAGGCCGTTTTTCCTGCCTGATCTTGGGCAACTCAGTGTCTCTGAGCCTCAGTTTCTTCTGCTGTTGAGTGGGGCAAGAATGCGCGGTGGCAGGCAGATCAGAGGAAAGTGGGCATGGAACCCAGGTCACCTCCACAGCAGCGCTCAGGAGGCAGCGATGGTGGCAGCAAGAGGGGCTGGAGTTAGAGAGCCGCCAAGAATAACCAACGGGGAGAGCAGAAACGGTGGAGAGGAGACGACGAGATATGGGAGAGAGAGGGCCAAGAGAAACGGCTGTGAGGATACGGGGGGGGGGGGGGGGGGGGGGGGGGGGAGCAGGGCTCACTTCCTGTCGGAGGGAAGGATTCTGACACCCGCGGCCTGTCAGGAAGCTGTGACACTGACGGCAGGCATTGCCTGCCATCTGCTGTCTGCCACCTGCTGCTCCTGCTGTTCCCTGTTGCCAGAAGCTGCACGTGAAGGGCTGCTGGCTTTAAAGCTCAGGGAAATGATCCCCCAGCCTGAGCGTGTGGAGCACCTAGTCTTTGGCTTCTGCAGCCTGGAACAACAGGGTCCTGGCTCTCAGGATTTAAACTGTAGCCTCTGGCTGTGCCAGTGCAGCTCTTGAGCCTTGGGCACTGAAGGGTGGGGACTGCCAGTGCTGCAGTATCTCCTCTCCCACTCGGAGTTCTGTCTAGGTACAGTAGGACCTCAGGCTCTCAGCTGCCTGAGAGCAGGCAAAGTGAAACCCCATCCCTGGGGTGCAGAAGAGCCCTGGGTCTACCTGCTCAGCCACTCACCCCTGTCCCTTTTCCATGCTGGGTTCTCCCTCACAGGAACTTGCCTGATGCCTTCAGAGCAGCCTGCTGGTGAGCAGCCAGAGGCCTGCGCAGGACTCTCGCTTCTATGGATCTTGGAAGAAACTGCCACTGCTGCTGCTGGCTGTATGAATCCTGGCCCCAAGACTGCTCTTCTCCCCACTGGAGGATTGTGGAGAACCCAGAGCCTGGTATCTTTCCCAGAAACCCAAGACCATAGCTCTGCCCTTCCAAACAAACTATGGAGTGAGGGCTGGGGCCCACCTCTCCACTTATACTTCCCGGCCCTCACTCTGTGACAGTTCACTGGGTGCTCAGTGGGTTCACACCTGTTTATCACTCACCCTAGTTCCCAGCTCAGCTCAGCTTCCACAGAGCCCCTGATGGAGCCTGTTTGTTGAAGCTGACAGCCAGCTCTAATGCCACACTCCCAGGTATGTCGCATCCAGATGCATTGAGGCACACGCTGCCACCTTCAGTGCTGTGCACGCTGCTGATAGTCACACACGCCCTCTAATGAGGCAGCAACTGTTATGCTCCCTCCAGACGTCCCCTCACATGCCAACATGTCCCCTTTTGGGCAACACATACTCACACACACATGCACACATACATTTTTAACATACACAAGACAGCTTCTCACATACATCGATGCTTTAAAATTATTTCTATACCAAGCCGGATGGTGGTGGTGCATCCCTTTAATCCCAGTACTTGGGAGGCAAAGGCAGGCGAATCTCTATGAGTATGAGGCCAGCCTGGTCTACAAGAGCCAGTTCCAGGACAGGCCCAAAACTACACAGAGAAACCCTGTCTCAAAAAATATTTCTATACCTTATAGATCTTTCCAAATCAATACATAGGTGCTCCTTTTTAACGGCTGCCTAAGACTGTAGGTGTAGCTGTGAGCACGGGTGATGCCTACTATCAGGTGTTGAGTTGGCTTCGTACTCTTGCTATTCCCAGCTAGCAGAATGACTACTGTTATTGTCCCAGTACCTTGGCTAATGTGTGCACGCATGTATCTGGATAAAGTTCTAGAAGTGTCATTTACTCTTTTGAATCTTTACTCCAAGGCCTCCTGATTAAATATTATACCCATTTTTAAAATGGGAAACTTGAGGTAAATTGATCAGTCCAAACAGAAGTGGACTGCAAAATCTGCAAAGTTTATTGGTGCTGTGCGATTTTTGCATGTGGGGTGTGGGCCACTCCTGGTTTTTGGTGGGCTACAAGGCTGTTCCCCTTTACAAGGATCTTTGTGGCAGCTACGTGGAGCAGAGAGAAGGTGGCTGAGAAAGAAGCCATGGAGAGTGGATGTTCTAGTAAAAGCTCTCAGATGGCCCTGAAGCACCATTGGTATAGGGCTGGTCAGCACTGGTCTTGAGAGGAGGCAGCTTGCTAAGGTCTTGTCTAGGGAAACGGACGTGCAGTAATTTAAGTTCCCAGAGGTTACACAGTGGAGGATGCGGAGGAGGCTGTGAGCAGCAACGGAATGGCGGCCATGTAAAGTCCGGAGCTCCGACCCTAGAGAAGCCACATGGAACCACACGTGACCCAGGGAATCCTGCAGGTCCAACCAGCCAGGGCAGACAGGACCGTATCTGGGAGGGCTTTTGAAGGATGTCTCTAGCCAGGCCTGGCCCAAGCCCATATGCAGCCTCTGTAGCTAATGACTGCCAAAGAAGCACAGGAACTCTTCTCCTGCTCCCTGCTCATCCAGCCTTGGAAATCCAGGTTAGACCCAGCCGATTTTGAATGCTTCATGGTCCTCACGGTATACCCTAGTTCTACCCATCCACTGAGGGAGCCTTGTTGGTCGACAAGCTCAGCTAAGTCATGGTTATTTTTCTTCTGTAGTTACTACCACCTGAGACCTAGCTCATCTGGAGACTGTCCTCACTGTGAGACTGGTCCCTCCCACCCGTGACTGGCTCCTCTTACCTTCTTGCCTGAGGCTGGGTCCTTGCTCTCTCCTCACCCCTTAGGTACCTGCAAGTGCAGTCCCCCTACACTGGGCTTCTCCTTCAAGGTCCCTGTTCCTCGTTTACCTTGCTCCTTCTCCTTTATCTGTGCCCTGGTCCCCACATCTGGCCTTCTTGACTGGACTCCCAGAAAGAAGCAGGCACAGGTTCAGAGCTAGAGGACCACATGGGGCTGGGGTTTCTCTGCTTGCACCCTATTCCTCTGTTCTAAGGTAGTGGGTTGGGCAGTCTCAACATGCATTTCCTAGCTGCTGAGCCCTGGCTGCTCCTCCTGCTCGGGGAAGAACTAATTTCTCAGTGGTTGGACTGATGCATTGGGGTAGGACTGGGGTGTCAGGGTACCGTTTGCCAGTTAACCTGGAAGTCCCTCAGGATGGAGCAGCCTGTCTACCATGCCTGTGTACAGGCAGCACTTACAGTCTGGTGGAGTCTCTTCCTGCACCTCTGTTTAGGATGGAGCACTGTAGTCACATGTCTGCTGACTCTCTGAGAGGGCCTGTCCAAAAGTGACTACTGAGGTTTCCCTGGATAGGACGGGTGATATCGACGAGATATTTGTCTGTGTGCGGCTATTGAAGGCAGCCAAGTACAGAACTTACCCTGGGAGGGGAATGGACCGGGTTGGCACCAGTTTCTTCTGTAAGGGCAGCTGGTCCTTCAGCAACCCTTTGCTCTTAGCCTTCCAAGACTGTGGGGAATTTCGGCTGGGCTCCATCAACCACGATAACCTAGAAGGGCCCTTGAGTGTTTAAGTCCTGCAGCCAGCCGCCCACAGGAGTTCATACCTGGGCCTTCCTATGTGTCTGGCCTCATACCCAGTGATTTACAAAGCCTTTGTTCCACCCTTTGGCTTCCCTGGCCTGGGACAGAAGGTGAAGAAGGGAGGGCCAGATTGTTGGCCACAGCAGTGTTCCTAGGGGCTCCATGGACTAGAGTCTTTCTCTCCTTCTGGCTCTAGCTCCTCAGAACGCCTGTGTCTGGCGACTTGGGAGCAATGTGGGGGCTGCGACAGAGCTCAGTCCTAGGTGTCTAGGCATCTTGTACCTGTAAGGAAACTTCTTGATGAGCTTCTCATGTGTCTTGATTTTGTATCTCTTATACCGGAGGGGCTTCTGGAGGCCTCTTGATTCCATCACAGACGGGGTCAGGCTGTGTCCTCCTCAGTCATGGGTAGAAAACAAGAGGAAGCTGCAAGAGCAGAGGCAAGAGTAGGAGATCGTACGTCGTATCTGTGGAGCTCATTTGACTTCCCCACTGGTGGAGAACATTGTTATTGCCCCACTTTTCATGGGAAGGGAAGCAAGAGCCACAGCAGGTGAACTGCTTTGTTTGCATCCACCCGATAAAAACAGGAATGCTGCACTTCCAGAATAGCCCAGACAATCCTGAACAGTCCAGATGATCCAGAATATCCCAGACGATCCAGAATAGCCCAGACAATCCTGAATAGCCCAGATGATCCTGAATAGCCCAGACAATCCTGAATAGCCAGGGTGTCAGGAGTTCCAGCCGACTGCCATCCATTCGCACGATGGCCCTGTCAGCTGCTGTTTCCTCTAGGGCAGGGGACACTGCAGAGTCCAGGGAACCTTTTGACCCCATGACACCCATCCCAGGCATGTCTACCGGCATCTTACAACAGTAACTGTGATATCTCTAAGGGGATGGGACTGTCCACACAGGCTAATGGAGCTCACCAAGGCAGCCTCACTTAAATCTTGAATGTGGATTAGGACTTGGATCACAAAGCCCTAAAATTGCTCCTGTCCAGGCAGTTGTAAGAGGGAGAGCTGCTGTGGCCCCATGGACTCCGATGCCACACTCAGAAACCTTGGTCAGATGGGAGGCCAAGGTCCAGGGTGTTCTGGGAGCAAGCAAACCAACAGAGCTGCACATTGGCGCACAGGCTTAGGTGACACCACAGGGCTTGATTCTGACCATGGTTCTGTGTGCCAGGGTACCATGGGAGCCATAACCCCATGACTTAGGGCTAATAGGGCCCACAGGCCCATTGAAAGGTCAGAAGCCTCTGAGGTCACAATCAGTGACAGGGTAGCTGCTGACATCTCTCACAGCAGCTGAGGGCAAGTATACCAGCACAGGAAATCTGCTGGGGAATCTTATCTTGCTAACTAAGGGGGGGGGGAGGGAAGAAGGGAGGGAGGGAGGGAGAGAGAGAGAGAAGGAGGA